GATGAGCATGGGGAAGGTGAGTGAGTGTCCTCGATGGGGAGGCCCTCCTCAGTCCTGAGTTCTGACACAAGCTGTCTGCCCTAGCAGCTTTATGGGGTGGATGTCATAGCCCCACACAAGGGCTGGAGAGATGGCTGGAACACTGGCTGCTTTCCCAGAGGACCAGGGTTGGATTCCCAGCACCCACGTGGTAGCTTATAAGCATCTGTAATTCCAGTCTCAGGGGATCTGACCCTCTCTCCTGTCCCTCTCCTATAGTAGGCACAAACAGGTACACAGGCAAAACAAACACTGGATTTTTTTTTTAAGCCCCATACAAAATTCAGTTCTCTGCCTGCGGGGAGTGTCTAGGATGGGGTGGCGATTTGTATACATAGTAAACAAAGTTGAAGAGCTGGGAGCTGGCTGGAGGTATTTGATCTAGGTGTGCAGGGTCGAGCCTGCCATCCCCACACTTGGCAGGAGGTCTGAGGCAGGATTAAAGCTAGCCCATGATATAGAATAAGACCTTTTCTTTTTCTTTTCTTTTTTTTTTTTTTTCTTTTTTTTTTTTTTTTTTTGGTTTTTCGAGACAGGGTTTCTCTGTAGCTTTGGAGCCTGTCCTGGAACTCCCTTTGTAGACCAGGCTGGCCTCAAACTCACAGAAATCCTCCTGCCTCTGCCTCAAGTGCTGGAATTAAAGGTGTGCGCCACCACCGCCCTGCTTGAGACCTTTTCTTAAACAACCAAAAGGAAAAGGTAAAAAAGTAGAGCATTGACAGGTGTTCAAGCTGGGAATTGGACTTGGTCAAGTGCTTGCCTGGCATTCACAAAGCCCTGAGTTCAGTCCCCGTGACAGGATAAAGCTGGGTGTGTGGTGTATGCCTGTAATCCCAGCACTTGAAGCCAAGGGAGAAAGGTCAGATTGAGGGTCATCTTCAGCTGCCGAGTTAGTTCAAGGCCAGCCCAAACTCCATGAGAACCTACCTCAAAAAGTCAAAAATAAAAAGGTATTTGAAAAGTGTCCCAAGTTAATCTTAGTCGGGTTAGAGCACACACACACACACACACACACACACACACACACACACACACGCACGAAAAGGTCTCAGTATGCATTGCTGTTGGCCTGGAGCTAGCTGTGTAGACCAGCACACACGTTCTCTTGCTAGTAATCAAAGCTTCAAACATACTAGACAGTGGTCTTCCACTGAGCTATACCCGCAGTCCAGTTAGCACCTCGTCATATGGAAGGGACAGCTGACCACAGGTACAAAGTTTGGGGAGGTGAAGGCTGATTGAGTTGAAGGGGAGGAGCGTGGATGCAGGTCTATAATCTCAGTACTTGGCAGGTGATGCAGGGGGCCAGCTTGGGCAACAGCCAGAGACAATTTTAAAATCAAAAGGCTCAGTGCAGTAATACAGCCCAAACCCTGGGGCGGCAGAGGAGGAGGATCCCTTGAATGCTTGAGGCCAGCCTGATCTATGGAGAGAGCTGAAGACCAGACAGAAGCTCCCTTTTTAAGAAAAAAGACAGCTACACCTAGATGTAGAGCCCTGGTTTACAAAAGGCCCAGGGCTCAAACGCCAATACATCAGCAGATAAAATAAAAACAATTTGCAGCTTAGTGTGGTGATACACATCTGTGATCCCAGCAGTCAGGCTGGGGTTGAGGCCAAAAAACAACAACAACAAAAACAAAAACAAAACAGGACAAACAATAGAACAGAAAAAAGTTTCGCCCAAGAAACTGTCTCGCCTCGCCTGTAGTTTGGAACCCTGGCCCTTAGCTCCCAGCCTCTTCCACGCAGTGTGGCCTAGGCTCCTGACCTTGATGGTGGTGCTCAGCCTCACGTGTTCATCCTTGTGTGTTTTTCTAGTCTGTCCTGCTGGCTGGAAGCCCGGCAGTGACACCATCAAGCCCAATGTGGATGACAGCAAGGAATACTTCTCCAAACACAACTAAGATGGCTAAACATCAGTGATCCTGAGTTCTTGGATCTCGCCCCACCTGGATGTCCTGTGCTGGCCCAGAAAAGACTAGATCCCCCCTCCACGGTCTGTGTAGGGGCTGGAGGCTGGGCCAAGGCTTTCTCATTCCCCACCTGGAATCTGGTGAATAGTAACCCCCTGCCCTGAACCCACCCAACTGGGCACAGGTCTATAGGAAACCAATAAAGTATTAGGGACAGTGGAAGACTGTGTTGGTGTACTCTCTAGCTTGACTCCAACCCCATCTTTACTCTCTGGCTTGTACAAATGGCTCTGCAATTACCCATCTTCACCACAAGGTGGAGGCATTACCACATTCACTGCTCGGTACTCCATTACCCCGTGACCTGAGAGTAGTGAGATCTGTCTTAAAAGAAAAAAAAAAAAAAAAAAAAAAAAAAAAAACAACCAGATCGGGCCTTGGTGGCGCACCGCCTTTAATTCTAGCACTCAGGAGGCAGAGGCAGCCGGATCTCTGTGCGTTCGAGACCAGCCTGTTCTACAAGAGGTAGTTACAGGACAGGCTCCAAAGCTACAGAAAAACCCTGCCTCAAAAAAAAAGGGGGGGGGGGAACCAATAATAGGGCTCCTGTCTCTGTAGACCGATGCCTGCATCTTGCCATCAGCCGGAAAGTGCTATTTAACAACTGCGATCGTCAGTGGATGGGAGTAAAATCAGATCACCGTGTCAGTTCCAGTAGGTGGAAGTCCAGGCTCAGTCCCATTTCCATGTAATATTTTGGGCAAGCGAGTGAGACCAATGTCCTGAGAGAGCCAACGGTGGGAGTCGCAGGGAAGAGCCTTTGCTTCCTGAGGTCGAAGGCAGAGGAGGGTTAGATTGGAGATGGGTGTTTCAGAGGTTCCATTCAGCTGTGTGCTCTGAAACAGCTTTGCCATTCTGAGTTCCACTTTCATTCCACAGAAGAGACGATCTGGTTGTTTTTATTTATGTTTTGACATTAGAGTCATCAGTCTATAGTTCCTTCAGCCTGAACAGAGATTTTACACAGATACCTTCGTGCCTGCCTTCATCATCTCCCCCCTTTGGAACTGTTTTTCCCTTTCTCCACCCAAGCTAGGGATGGCGTCCAGGGCCTCCTGAAGGACATGTGCACACTCTACCACAGAGCCCCACACTCAGCTGTTCCCTGGAATCTAATGTCTCCTCAAAGCTCCTGCTTGGGTCTCCTGAGTTCATCCACCCTACTCTGATTTCCCATTTTATGTGCCTTCTTCAGGTGATCTTGTTTGGGCCACAGTATTCGTATCCTATCCCTCTGTCCCAAGCTTTGCTCGGGCCCTACACTGCCAAATTTGTTGCAGAGATAACAGTGCATTACATTCATGGATCAGCCTGCCTCCCCTGCCCCAGCAGGCACACTTTGAGCTAATAGTCCTCTTCCTAACTCTCATCACCATTTTTCAAATCATGTCTGCCCTCACTTTTATTTATTTTATTGGTTTTTCAAGACAGGGATTTTTTTGGGGGTAGTCCTGGCTGTCTTGGAACTAGCTCTGTACATGTGGTTTTTTTTGCTTAGAAGAGTGCAGTGCCTGTGGAGGCCGGAAGAGGGCATTGCATCCCCCGGAGCTCCTTATAGGGTTTCGTGAGACGCCTAAGGTGGGTGCAGTGTATGCTCTGGAATAGCAGTGGTCCATGCCTTTAACTGCTGAGCCATCTCTTCAGCCCTTCTTTCTTTTTTCTTCCTTTAAAAAGTGTGTGTGTGTGCCCGCGTGCGCGTGCTCATTTGTGCTGAAAGTATGTGAAGGTGAGTGCTTCATCCAGGACCCAGGGATCACACTCAAGTACTCAGGCTTGGGGGCAAGCATCTTTACCCGCTGATCTTTTTCTTCTCATCTACTCATCTACCCCTTATCTCTTCTCTCTCTCTCTCTCTCTCTCTCTCTCTCTCTCTCTCTCTCTCTCTCTCTCTCTCTCTGTTTCTCTCTTCTTTTTTCTATCTACGGTGTGGTCCAAGCTATCTCTTAGGATTTTGTTTGTTTGGGGTCGCAGTTTTGTTGGGGGTGGGAGGTGAGGCAGGGTTTCTCTGTATAGTCCTGGCTGTCCTGGAGTAACTCTGTAGACCAAGCTAGCCTCGAACTCAGAGGTCCGCCTTACTATGTAGCCTAGACTGACTTAAGGCCCATCCACTTTACTACTTAGTTATTCCTCGGCTCCACCCGAGTGCTTTGGTTTTCTTCTTTGTGCTGGGGTCTTCCAATTTCAGCAGCGAGATGCGACTAGCAACCATCAGCTTTGACTGACTTCAGCTGCTGGGGAGCGGGCCCAGCATAAAGGCTGCGGCAGCGCCCAGCGGCCCAAACAACTGCCCCGACAGGACCAGACCTGGCAGTCGCCAGCTTCTGGCCTGGCACACGGGAGGGGACACTGGCAGGCGGGCGCCGCCCTTCCTGGCGGGAGTTGCCCTGACGGCGTCTGCAACACCGAGGCTGCAGCTGGGCTCCGCCAGGGTCAGCTCCGACGGAGGGGGCGTGGGCGCGGGCGCGGCGGGACTCCGGCGCCAGCCTATTAAGAGCCGCTCGGGTGGCTCCCTGTGCCCAGGAGAGCGTAGCCCTCCCGCCGCGGGCGCCCTGGACCCGGGCCTGGGGCTTTCCGCACCCAGAGAGTCGCCTGCCCGGGAAAATCCCGGCCCCCTTCCCGGCGCCGCGGCCCTGCCCGGCAGAGCTGGGGGAGGGGATTCCCGGAATCTGCCCGGAGACCGCGCTGGCGTCACTGAGCAGAATAGGCCCATATATGGGCAGCGCTTCCGGCGCGTCAGCGGGGAAAGCCCCGGCGCTCGGTGGCTGGGCGGGGCGCGCGTACACATTCCGCGTTTTGTCCTGGGCGGCTTCTTCCCTGCCACTGCCTGCCTGCCCCGCGTCGGATGCCAGCGCTCAGGGGATGGGAGGTCTGGATGCTTGGACTGGGCCCTGGGATACCCGAGAGGAGCGAGCTCCAAAAGCAACGGCTGGGGGCAGCCCGTTCTCCCTCCACCCGCCCGGCTTGGAAGAAAGAAGACCACAGGAATTAATAAAGACAATTTTTTTTACTTAAATAGATTCAATAAAAAGTCAAACACACACACAAACACATCTTAAAATAGACTCTTAGACACGAAGTGCGTGTTTCTTCTCCACAGTACTGTGCAGAGGGGGAGGGCAGGGGGCGGAGGTCCCTTCCTAGTGTCCCGGCAGGCTGAGTACCAGGCGGCGGGGCCAGCTCCGCCGCGATAGCCCCCTTCTCCCTCCCTGTTAAATACACAAATATATTATATTCAATATGAATTCGGTCTCTTCCCAGAAAAAAAAAAGACATACAAAATACGGTGACAGCGGGGGGGGGGGGGAGGAAAGGCATGTAAACGTCGAGGTGAAGGGACTGGGCGCAGGCGGGCGAGCCAGAGTCCAGTGTGTGTGCGGCGCCCCAGGCCTCCGGGCGGATGCCCATCGCCTGCCCCCCTCACCCCAGTGGGGGGCGGGCGCCCAGCCTTTCGGGCTGGGGGTGTCCGTGAGGAGCGAGGGAGGCGCTCAGAAGGCGTGTCCTTTGACCCCCAGCAGTAGCTGGCAGCCGTTGCTGACGTGGGTCATGACCTTCTGCTTGAGCTGGGCCACTTGCTCCCGTAGGAGGCCCGCAGTACTCGACAGCCCCGCGTTCTCAGCCTTCAGCGTCTTCACCTTGTCCTCCAGGCGCGCGATGCGCTCCAGCTTCCGCTTCCGGCACTTGGTGGCCGCCAGCCTGTTCCGCAGCCGCTTTCGCTCCACTTTGATGCGCTCCTGGTCTTCCATGTTGATGGGGGACACCGGCGGCGTGGCGTCGCGGCTGCGTGCCTCTGGGACGGTCTGCGGTTCCTCTTTAAAGGCGGAGGCGCCGCGACCCAAGCCCAGCTGCGCCGGGTGGCCGCCCGCAAAGGGTGGTGCATGTGGGAGGTAGCTGATGGTGGCCGTCGGGTACGAGCTCCCAGTCCCGACAGCGGCCCCGGCGCCTCCAGAGGATGCAGAGGCTGGGGAATAACTGCTGAGGTTGGTGTAGACGGGAGGCGGCTCCGGACCAGCGTAGACGCCCCCTGGCCCGGCCTGGGGACCCCCGCTGGCGCCCAGGGACACGTTGGGGGGCGTCACGTGGTTCATCTTGTGCAGGTCGTCCAGGGCTTTGACAAAGCCGTCCGCAAAGCCCTCCTGCTCCTCGGTGACGCCACCCCCTGTACCTCCACCGCTGCCACCCCCACGGGGGTAAAAGTACTGTCCCGGAGGCGTGGGCGTCGTCGTGATCACGCCGTTGCTGTTGGGGACGATCAAACGCTCCAGTTCCGTGGAGGCGAGCTTCAGAGACGCGCCTGTGTCTGATCCCTGACCCGAAAAGTAGCTGCCTGCCCCACTGCCCTCTGGGCCCGGGCCGCGCGCTCCGGGGCCCTTGAGACCCCGATAGGGATCCGCCAGGTTGAGCGCCAAGGTTGGTTTCAGGAGTTTGTAGTCGTGTAGAGACAAACTGCCAGGGGTTCGACCGTATCCCGCCGCTGCGTATGAGTCGTCGTGGTAGAAAGGCTGTTCCATTTTCGTGCACATCCGGGCGGTCTGGGAAAGGTCCCCCTGAAGGGCCGCCCCGGGCCTCGCTGCGGCGAGCGGCGAGCTGTCCTCGGCTGCGGCGGGACCCGGTGTCCGGTCGCGCGTCCTCGGGAACTGGAGACGGTCGGCAGCAGCCAGTTGGCAGCCGTGCGTAAAAGCGCTGCCGGGTTTTCGGACCTCGTCTCTCCCTCCGTGGTGTGCCCGCTCCCTCGGCGTCGCTACCTTCGGTTCCCCGCTCCCCGCAGGATCCAAAACTGGCCCAGCCACCCTCAAGGTCCCCACCGCGCTGCCCCAGCCCCAAGCTTTTATACTGAGTTTGTCAGCTACGGAAGTGCGCTCTGATTGGCCGACGCGAGAGCCGGGCCCCCGCGGCCCCCTCCTAGAGCGTGGGGAAGGGGAGGAGGCGGCTCGCGTCACTGTCAGGAAGCGCGTGTCCTTGTAAACAGCGGCCACGAGCCGGGTGGCTCTGCGCGGCTGCAGGGGGAGGGGCTGTAGGGATGGAGACACTCCAGCCTGGGGATGTTGAGGGGCTGAGGTACACAGCGGTTAGGACTGCGGGAGTACACCTAGGTGAATATGAGAGCTTGGTGCGCAGCAAGTAAGGAAGGGGGACCTCGGAGACACCCGGTAAAGTCTCGGGGGACCCAGGGTACCCGTAGCTTGAGAACTAACAATACACTAGAAGACCCTAGCAAGCAGGGAAGGCACAAATCGGAAGGAATTTGTTAACATTTAGCCCAGGGATTAACTGGAGGTCCCAGGTACAAAAGGCTTGAAGGACTGGAATTGTCACAGGTGGGAGGAAGGGGTAAGGAAGCGGGGCTCGGGTACCTATTGTGCAAGAAATGAGTAGGGAGGGGTTCTAGAGGCCATAGATGAGTCTGAAGATTCTCCTATAAGAGGAAATGGGAAGGCATTGTAGAAATGCAGAAAGTAAGCAAGGGTCCTGGATACACTGAGGTAATAGAAGAGGTGGAGGATGGGAACATGGCTACCAAAGGTTGGGGCTACTGTGGCCACTTGCACAATTCTGATGGAGAGTTAGATGGATCAGGGCACGACTTCCGAGTTCTAAGGGCGATGACAGTAGGGTATCTGAGATCTGCCCGAGAAGATGACTCGGGGGATCCAAGAGACAAGGGACTTGTACGGATAGGGCTGTACCTCGTGGGTGGTCCCTAGGCACCTGTATAGCCTGGACCCTAAGCCCAAAGCCCTCCCTTAGTCACCCCGGGCTCGCCCGATACCCTGTCAGCTCTTGGAGAGCCGACGGGGCGGGATAGCTGGGGCGCGGTCGCCCAACCCCACTCCCTTCCTTAGAAACAGGCTAAGGAAAGAGAGCCGAGGCAGGAAGTGTGGCAACAGCCCCGAGGGGGAAAGAGCCCGGCCCTGTCTCGTCATTGTGAGCCTACAGGACGGTGCGCCCTGCCCTGGGCCTTGCCAATTCTGCTCCTGAGAAGAGGAACCCGGGCAAGCGACCCCGAGGAAGTCACAGTCCAGCTACAAACGCCTCCAGTCACTGTCTGTTCTCCCCCATCTAGTAATGGTTCAGCCTGCAGTCTCCGGCGACTACTAAGCCTGGCAGCCCGAGGACTGTTCCATTGACCCTCTGGAGGGGGGAAACAGCCTGGGAGCGGGCCTTCATCACCAAGGCAACAGGCTGGAGTCCGCGAATTGGATTGGGGGCGGGGCAACCCCCCTGAATTTCTCCCCAAGATCCATATTAGGGCACAGGAAGAGGTGGGACCAGTGTAGTCTTGGGGCGGGGAGCTAGGAGCCAGGAACCCAGGGTAGCTGCCAGGTCCCAGGGCGCGCCCGGGCCCCCGGACGGCTAGTCCGGACCAGCCTCGACCGCCACCCCCGGGGGCCCCCCGGCGGCCTGACCCAGCCCCGCGGAGCAGCTCTGGGGCTGAGTCCTGTCCCGCCCGACTGGGTCGGACGCAGCCTGGCAGGTCCCCGCCTGCCCGCGGGCCTGGGTCGGACTTTGCCCCCGGCCCGCCAGGGCGCGGAGGGGGCGGGATGAAGCCTTTAGGCATCCCTGGCGCCTGGGCAGGCTGGTACAGGGCTGCCTCCTCCCCTGGGTATGTGCCCTTCCCTTCTGCCAGAAGGTCTAGGGTCCCCTTTCCCCACCCTAAGTCTTTGAAATCTGGATACTCCTTACCTACGTCCATTTCAGTTGGGGGGTGAGTGAGGTACCTAAAAGAAGGGCCCTGCCTTACTAAGCCAGCTCCCTCATCTGGGGACCTTTCCACTCAAGTCGCAGGGAGAAAATGGGAGAACTCATAGCCCCTTCTCCAGGAAGGACAAGGTGGAGGTTTAAATAACAAGGTTTCCAGTTAGACAGGTGGAACTCCCAAGTAGTATGGGAGCCACCAGAAGAATGGGTGAGAGTTCCATCGCTTCCTCTTTCCCAGACTCAGGTCTCTCTGGGAAGACAGAGGAGGCTTCTTTAGAGAGAAGCTTGGGGACAGGGGCTAACTAATAGACTCAGAGATCACCTAGTGTGGGACAGAGAAGGAACTTGAAAGAGGCAAAAGAGAAACAGCTGTGGGGGGGGGGAGGGGGAAGTCCAGCAGAGTAGGGACATTGGAGAGGAAGGAGCTGGGGACATCCCAGTCTTTGAAAGATCCTTGTGACCCTTAAGTGCTCCCTCCCATCTTGCCCTTGCTTGAACAGCTCCCCTCCCCCCACCACAGTCTCAAGGGAGATTCCAGAAGCCGCTGAGTCTGCGGGCATGCTGCCAGGCCTGTGTCTCCTGCCCATGCTAATAACTGCAGCTGACATGTGGCCTGGCCCGAGGGGGTGCTGGCCGCAGCCTTTGGGGGCAGGGCAAGACGGAGGGCAACATGTTGGGAAGCCAACCTGCCTGTCCCACTGGCCAGGAGGCCACACTGACTCATCCATGCCACAGCTGAAGCTGGCTAGGCCAAAGGGAAGTCCTGGAGAGAGGCCAGGCCTGCCCAAAAGAGGGTCCAAAGGGAAGACAAGAGTGGGTGGCTGGGGGCAAGGAGGCAGAACAAGGGGAGACACCCAGAGAGACAGATGGGGCCAGGTTAGTCTTCTGCAGACATGGAGACTGGGAGATACTTAGGACTGGCAGACAGACTGTCTGAGAAATAGTAATTATTATTTTAATAGCTAACACTTATATGGTTCTTACCATGGACCAGACACTGTTCTAAAGTGGCTTACATAAAGTTGGTCATTGGCTACTTCCAATGATCCAGGCAATTGCATGCTGTATGAGTTTCCATTTAACATATGAGAAATTGAAGCAAAGGAAATGAAGGACCTTTAATAATTGTCTCAGAGCTAGAAGGACTAGAATTGGTATACAGTCTATGGAATCAGCTGGCTACCTCCTGAACACTACTATGTTGTAGATAGGCATTTATGGAGAACCAGCAACATATAGTGTTCTAGTGTGCGTTGTGCAAAGGGCCTATCTTTTTTCCTCAGTGGGAGAAGTAGAGTTTGGTACAGAAAGGTGATAGTGGCCACTCTGCCAGCGTGGGGTCTTCCTTCACACTTTCTGTCTGGGAGTTTGAGCAGGGGCTGGGGAAGAGGCCAACCAGGGAGGGCAGGGCTGGCCAAGCTGGTACAGCCGGTTCCAGGCCCCTACCATTCTCACTCTTGTGGCCTGGGCACCACCTCCTCAAGTCGCCCTGCTGGCGCCAGGCCTGTCCAGTGTGGAGGGTGTGAAGACAGCCCCTCCCCCACACCGCCTGGGCTACAGGTCAGCACCATACTGGCTTGCCAGGTTTGCCCCTATCCCAGGACCTGGGGCCAGGGGCTACCTCTCAGGATAAGGAAGAAGTTCACCCCCACCCACCCACGGTCTCTCTGGGGCTTTTGGCCTTGGCACCAGGGACTTCTCCTTCTTATAAATAGTTTGGTGACCGTTCTCCTCCCTGGCCCCACTGACCGGTGCCAGCGCTGCCACCAGGAAACTGGGCTGGGGGCTGCCTGTGAGTCAGCCAGTGGGCAGGCTGGGGCGGGAGCCCACAAGTCACAGCTCCCCGTCTCCTGTCCCTGCCCCTGGGTGTGGACTGGTGGCTGGGCCAGAAGAAGCTAAGAATCAATCCCAGAGGTCTTCATCTTGGAAGGCTGCCAGCCACCTCCCTCCCCTATTCTGCGGTTTTAGGGGTCCATTGCCCCTCATCTGGAGAGGAAGTTGCTGGGTTTTCTTGGAAACAGGCTCTATCCTCACACTGATTCAACTGGGCCCAGAGGGAGTTTCCCACACAGCTGCCAAAGACTTGGGGGCCTGAGCTCCAAGGTGTCCACTTCAAGAGAGGTATCAGTAGAAAACAACCAATCCTGCCTGACAGGGGAGGCGGGAGAACAGTAGGGGTGATGTTGGGAGAGGAAGTGCCAGGATCTCTGGGCCCCACAGAACCTCAGCAAAGGGTGTGTGAGGGGGGTGCAAGTGTGGTTGGCCTGTTAGGGCCTGTGAGAGTGCATGAGGCCTGCTCAGGGCTTCTGTCTGTGTGTTGGTCCAACCCTGCAGGGGGTGTGGGCTTGTTTGTGAGAACTCAGTTCTGCTTTATGTGGAGAGGGTGAGGCGTGCACGCGCTCGTGTGTGTGTGTGTGTGTGTGTGTGTGTGTGTGTGTGTGTGAGAGAGAGAGAGAGAGAGAGAGAGAGAGAGAGAAGGGGGGGGCACGTTCCATTGGGTGGACAATATGTGACTCAATTCTGGGCATACATATGGCTAACATATTTGTATCTGGCTTGTATGTGCAAGGTACATGTTTTGCCTTACGTGTGTGAAGTGTCTTTATGTATATATGTCTCTGTATTTACGTGGATAGCCCGGAACTGCTGGCCCCTCCCCCATACATGTAGACCAGCCATGGCCAAACATATATTCCAAATGGGCAGGGGGGGAAGGGGGACACATTTTGTGTCTGGTTTTTGTGATCTATGTGTGTCTATGAGAGAGAAAGAGGAAAGAGAGAAGCCTAGTTGGTCTGTATGTTTTGTGTGTGTGTTATGTGGTCTGTGGCTGTTTGTATGTGTACGTGAGACAGCATGAGCCCTGTGTGGTGCATGAGCGGTCTGTCGCCGGCCGCAGCTCTGTCAGGGTGTCTCCATGCTCGTCTGTTCATGAATGCTGCCCTGTGGTCTGCTTCTGCCCCTCTGCTCTAGGAATTGTCTGTCCAGACTGCATCTGAGAATGTGTCCATCTGTACCCTCCTGTTTTCTGTTGGTTAGGGCCATTAAGAGGTGACTATAGCTGGACATGGTCGCACAGGCCTCAATCCCAGCACTCAGATGTCAGAGGTGGATCTCTG